AGTAAGGTAAGAAATTTGTTGGAGCTCCCCTTTTCAATAGCATTAACACTCACAAAAGCAGGCGACGGGGACTGGTTTTTTTTGTGTGTGGGTTTTTTTTCATCTTAACCTGTTACAGTGACATTTTGCTTATATTTTCATAGTGAAGTTGAGCTGAATTGACTTTATATTTCAAAAGATTGACTGTTTAAATGGTGTTTGACCAACAGGCAATATTGGAAAATGTTTTGGATAAAATTTAAAATCTGCCTAAAATATAAAAAGACTACCCCCACTCTTTTCATAAACTGAAAGTAACAGGTGAATTCTAAATAATATCTACAGAAATTTCGTTTGGATCCTTGGTTATTTATTGTTAATGTGACGTAAATTATTAAATTAATTCTAAATAATATTTACAGAAATTTCGTAAGGATCCTGGGTTATTTATTGTTAATGTGACTTAAATTATTAAATTAAAAGGAATTATAACAAAATGAAAATTTATTTTTACTCTAAACTGTTCACTCATTTAATATACCTTTAGATGGGCATAATGTCACTTTAAATATAGAGATGCAGTTTCAAATTAATTATCAATGTTTGCTTTTATTCTTTGCCTTTTAATCTTCAATTTGGAAATTAAAACTGACAATGACAAAAGTTCAAGTTCAATAAGGAATTGTAAAACTCTTGACCTTTATGCCTATTGAGACGAAGAACTTTTGATCCCGTATTATTTGGACATTTACAGACATAAAAATGACAAATTGTACATGCAAATACAATGTACCAAAATATAAGAAGAGAATATGATACCGTACGTCGTAGCCTATTTCGTTAATGTGATATGAAGGCGCTGCCTCATAAAGAGAACTCTTAATTTGCCAGCTTATTAATGTAGACTCCGATATTGCTAGGTAAGATTAAATGGCCTCTGATATCACAATTGTTTAGCCTCTACTGATATAAAACCTAATTCAGGAACTGAATACTTGTCGATAAATTATACTAGAATTTGTCTTCTTCAAAGAAAGTCGATAACTGCTGAAGATTTTGTTATGTTGTGATCATGTTATATATAGTTTTACGTGATGTCATTCTTTGCTGTAGTTGATATTTATAAAACAAATAACTACTAGTATATGGCAGTCAGTTCAGATTTATTTATTTCATTTCTTACATGTAGTGCAGCAAATGGGCATGAGCAGTTGGCCACTCTGCTATTAAAACCCGTGTAGTGATCTCTGAATTTATTTATATAATAAGGAAGTATTTATATTTGATCTTTATCTGTAACTTTTGCAAATTTTGTCACTTTTCTTCATTACTAGTATTTGTTTTCTCCCATTATTCAATGCAATCACGGGACATTTTTAACAGGTTTAAATAGGGAGAAAGTAAGTCCATTACAAGATTTTTCTGAGACTTCAAGCAAAACACACAAACAAGAGATGAACGTTTATGTGACAGGAAAGTTTGTAAAAGTTCACATGTGTTTTTATGAGTGAACTAAAAGAAACTAATATGTAGGCCATTTTCCTGTGTACGCACGGAACGAAACGGAAATGCTGAAGTGCTATATATAGGCCAATCTTTTTCAGTTCTTCTAATTAACTTTGTTTCTTTTCCTGTTAACAGATATATCAAGACGAATGATATTTACCATTGTGTATAGTTATTTTAATGAATAAATGCTTTTTAATGACCCATTGATAAAAAAATTTTGAACCACAGAAACGCGTATTACAGATTAAAGAAGGCAGTAGATCTAAATAGCATATGTACACATTGTATGAATACAATAACCCATAGTGTTAATATAGGTTTGCATAATTATTACATATTAAGTAAGAAATAGAAAATAAATCGACTAGCTGAAGTGAATATGCCGAATATGGTTTTAATGTCTTTATAATTCTGTAACAAATTATTAAGGACTTCCACTGAGGTCCAAATGCCCATAAACATAAAATTTAAAAATGTCAAATGAAGTATTTTAAATAGAAAAAAATATATCTAGGATAACAAAAAAATCAATAGAGTTACTCAGAATTTAATTGAAAATCGATTTTCATTTTTTTTTTTTTTGGGGGGGGGGGGGGGGGGTTTAGTCTCATATAAGTGAAAAGCGTTACAAAGTTCTATTTTTTGTTCCTTTTTTTCACAATATAATTTTCTTTTTAAACCCGGGTGTGGGAATGAAGATAACTACTTAAGTGATTTATAAAACGTTATGAGATCAACAAGCGTTAGGAAAAGTAAAGACTTCTGGTCATAATACAGATAATATTTTCAAAAAAAACTTCTGGCTAAAACGAATTGTACAGTTATCACTAACTCACCACACTTAATTCAGAAATTTTTCTTATAACTCTTGCTTTTCTGCTGTGAGAAAATGGAAGAGTTTCCTCTCTTCTGATATTCAATATACTGAAAAAAAATTATTCATTATGTCATCATCGCGTGACCTGAAACGTGTCTGTTTATTCTTTTATCCTATTATTCAGTTTTCTTTTTTTTTTGTCAATTTTTCACAATCCTATCATAAATCAATAAGACGATATAAGACCAGATTGCACAGGTGCGCCAAGTTAAGGAGGTAATCCCATTTATTTTCCCCGTCATTGGCATGATAGGGGTTGAGGAGCATCCTCCTATCAGCCTTACAATGATACATGTATATATTTGATTCTGACAAAATAAGAAGCAATACAGACAATGTGATAACTATAAGAATAAATTATAAAGCGTTAATACATGGTTTATTCGATTTCACTTCTCCAGTTCCTGTTTACAGACTTAGTTGAATTTTCAACATTCTAATTATTGTGAATGGAAGGAAATTTTCGTAACAGTTTTCTCAGCAACTACTTATGACAGCCTGTTGATATTTGGTATACATCATGAACACATGCTCACATACCGTAGGATTTGATTTCAGGTCTGTCCCTAATCTATTTCCTGTTTACTGACTTAGTTAAATTTTCAACATTAATGGTGAATGGAAAGAAATTTTCGTAAAACAAACTAAAATTGTAAATTATGGCCCCCTTTAAAGATACACTATAAGTTAAGAGAAGGCTGGAAACTCAGGTCTGTCGGTCATCCACTTCTTGTTTTCCGACTTAGTTAAATTTTCAACATTATTGGTAAATGGTAGGAAATTTTGTAGCGGTTTTCTCAGCAACTACTTATCACAGGCTCTTGATATTTGATATACATCATTAACACATGATCCCATACCGTGGTACTTAATTTCAGGTTTGTCCCTCATCCACTTCGTGTTAACCGTCTTAGTTAAATTTTCAACATTAATTGTGAATTGTAGGGAATTTTCGTAACAGTTTACTCAGCAACTACAAATCACAGCCTCTTAATATTTGGTTTACAACATTCACATGTAGTCCCATAACGTGGGATTCAATTTAAGATCTGTCCCCCATCCACTTCCTGTTTATCAACTTAGTGAAATTTTCAACATGGTAAATGTTAGGACATTTTCGTAACAATTTTCTTAGCAATGGTTAATGGTAAGAAATTGTCAAAGCATCACAGCCTCATGATATTTGGTATAAAATGCAACACGGCTATTACTGTCTTTGACCAAGTTTTCTCTATTTATTAAGCGGACGGTATTGGAACGCCGATTAGAACACAAGCCAAATGTACCACAACGGTAATGTCGTAACGAACGCTCTTCCTACAAGAATCAAAATATAACTTCTTTTATTGGGTGTACGGGTCGAACTCTTACCAATAAACTGTTTATTTATATCCGTTTAAGGAGTTGACTGTTGTTTCGCAGAGCATGCTGGTAAATACTCGTATATACATATAACTTTAATTTATAATAGTTTGGCAAAATGTTCATATAGTAAAGTAGAACTATCTAGTTTATAATCATCTTCTGTTTGGTAGAGAATCGATGGTTCAAAAACTTTGCATCTAATTCATTCAAAGAGAGCGTTTAGAAAATTTAACAAAAATGCAAGTTAACATTTCAATGTATTATAGCGCGTACCACAATATGATTTATCATGGTCGATAGTTTGTTGTTGGTTTTTTTTTTTGGTTTTTTTTTTTTGTTTTTTTTTTTTTTTACTTTTGATATAGAAATGTTAAAAATGATTTCATGAGAAACCAGATTTTAACGATTGAAATTACAGAATTATAAGTCCAGGTCATTCGTTATTCGGTTATTGTTTTATCAAAATCATATAGCTAATTCTACAAGGCTTATCAAAATCAAAAATCGTTAAAATACATAATCATAAGTGCAGAGAAAATGGAATATTGTTTTGCTTGATTCGAAGTTTCTCTAGGGAAATCATCAACAACATCTGAAGATAACTGATTTCTGAAGCATGAAATTAATATTTTCAACTGTAAGTTTTCTTGAAGTAAGAGAAGGTTTTTTATGGTAACTATATAGTACCATACATTTCTTTTACTTGGGAACCGTACGCGGCTGCTTATGGAATGGCACGAAGTGTCACATTGAAGGTTCCATGATTACCTGTGTATGAAGTCATCTGAGGATGTTTCGATTTAATTATTCTTGATTTCGTCATTTTTGTGTTTAATTATTATAAAAGTCTGCTTAAGCTGGTGCTAGTAGGTTTGGACGGTAACTGGCACTTTCCAGTACCGTCCATGATCAGGCTCAAATCGAACCGAGCCTGCAACATTTTCAAATTTGTCGTTTTGGGCGTTCTAAAGGAATTCCTTTTTTCTTTATTCTAACGATATTTGGCATATTATAAAAACTTTTATAGTCAGGTAAGCATACGTTTTGATGAGGACGATAGTTATAAAGGCTTTTAACACAAGCTTTTAACAGGTGATATGTCCCAGTATAAAAGGTTAAACCAAATTATAACGAATACATAATACGGCTCGATTCCTTCCGAAATGTATCCATTAATTTGCAGAGACCGTATATATAGATTATATACATGTCACGTTTGACAAAGAAATTCGACTTTACAAGGTAGCAGTATTATAAAATACAAAGACAATTATTCAATCAACAAATCAAATTTTATTTACCAAAATATACAAAAGGTGAAAACAACCATATACATCAATTGTAAAGCTCAGATAAAACACAATTTTGTATATACAGTGGTATTGTGTGTACATTGACCAAACACGATTGCTGTAAGAGGATAAGCTTTAAAAACACTTTGTTCAATAGATATGAGATAACACCTGCTAATTAAAAACGAAATGATGTTTTCAGACGGTTTTTTATTTTAAAAAGGTATGCCATTATCCTGATACTTAAAATACTTAAATGTCTAAGTTTAATCCAATAAATAAATAAGTTCATCGTGATGGTATTGTTATGATTTCAAGAAATGTGTGGCTTTATAGAGAAATGACAAAATACCATTATCAATTCGTACAAAGATTGTATTGTATGTCTTTATTCAGTTTGCCGGTACAAACGGTCAAGATCACAATTACTTATTTCCTTCACCTTGTACGGCATGCTTGACCATTTTTTGTATGTTTCGTATGCATCATCGTTTTCCGTGTTTTGACAGATAAATTTCAAGTTTTCTAATTTTAGAATATAGAATTCAAGATCACCTTTAACTCCAATCACTCCCCAGGCTTTTGAACAATGCATACAGAACATCTTAAATTTTTTCTTCAATACACCCATATTAGCCCTTGTGGCATGTTCTTCTCTTTTTATTTTTTCTTCAAAGCCTTGCAAAGCAACAATATAGGATGTATCAAACTTCCGGAGATTAGAAGTATTACAAATATATGTGCCACATTTCTTGCAGTGAATTTCATAATCAAATGCATCAGACTTTCTGTTTTTTGACAGCTCCATAGTTTGTAGATGCCATTTGTACTCCTCCATCATTTTCTTCTGCAAAGAAATTACTTGTCTATCGATAGACTTAGCATCCAAACCCTTGAAAGTTGCAACTGCCCATGTCATCAATTTCAATCTGTACATAACTACTCTGTCTTTATCAAACTGGGTGTTAGTAGCGATCATAACTGCTTTGCCGTCCGCTTTCCTGCTGCGCCCTTTGAAAAAAAATACATAAAAGATGTTTTACAAAATATAACTAGAATACATAGTTCGTAAAAAAATCATGTGAAGTGAAAACAAACTTAAGTGCATGCAGAATCACATCGCTTTAATTTTATTATGAAATTATTCAAGATTGAAATGAAATTTGACAGCACATGTTTCTATTACAAATGATTATAAATAGTGTTTAAATAACATTACATCTGAAAACCAGTCAAAACGAATTTATAAATAAAAGTACTTTATTAAGTTTGTATGTAAGTAAATCTTCATATTCTATTAGACGTATATATATCTAAAGTATATACTTTCAAAAACATATCCTTACCTGACATTTGAATCTTAGTTATTTCGTCAGCGTTGAAGTTGTAATTTAGCGTCATATTACAGTCTGGTACATCTAGTCCCTCCATTCCGACTGATGTCGCAACTAGCACTTTGAAAACACCTTCCCTAAATTCCTCCAATAGTTGAATTTGGTCTTCCTCAGTCATACCTGTTATCGAGTTAACAACATTAACTTTATACCTTTAGCAGTATTCATTTTCATTGTTAACGATCAACATAATCCAATTTTTTGTATGGTTTGAAATACAGTTTAAAACACAATATTAAAATTGATTGACCGCAAAAATAAGATTGTTTTTTGCTTGTTTTGGGGGTTTTGTTTCTTCTTTTTCTTTCAGTATTTCTAAAAACAATGTCTTAATACAGATAAATTATTAAATGTTTATCGATATATGTTTCAATCTCTGTAATAGAGGCTTCTTATAATACAAAAGAAAAAACAAAACGATAAATTGATCTAAAAAAATACTATTGCACGTAATGGTCCGGATATTTAAGTATAATGTAAAGACTTCTTTATTTTTAACAATTATTTAAATACGTTTCAGGAAAGTCACTTGCTCGCTGAACACTTACCTTTATCGATTCCTCTGGTTTCTTTTCCTGTAAGAGGACTGGCTTTTACATAAATAGACTCTAACTCTTCGTTGAGAAAATCTGCTAAAGCTCTGCATGTTGCCCGTGCGTGAACGAAAACCATGGCTCTTGAGTTAGCATCAGCTTCCTTTCCAGCAAAGAGATTTGATAAAATGTTGCTTAAGACATGTACGTTTGGATTGTCAGATTCCACTCTTCTCAAGTCTTTTTGTATTTCTGAAGATACAGGAATAAGATCAAACACCAGAATTTTGAATTGAAACCACAAAACAGCTGAAGCTTTGAATTAAATAAAATAATATTGTGACATATACAATGCCTTTATTTTTTAATTTAGAATCTTCTTAATCTATGACGTAATTTTATGTCAAATGTAACCTTTCAGTGCATCAAACAGACGTTGTTCTTCTCTTGTAAAGGTTTCTGGGTGTTCAGCTTCTTCCGCGAGTTGATTTGCAAGGTAGAGAGCAACATCAGTAGTTCTCAGTAGCCTGTTTATCTCTAAAGCATTGTTGTAAATCTAAAATATTAAAAGAAACATTCCCTTTTCAAAGTTTTGTTCTGTTGAGTTTATGCAGTTTAAAATTTTGTTTGATATGGCAACTAATCAACTTTCAGTAAGTTAACGTCAATAAGCTTCTCGTATGACATGCGACAATCTTAGACAAATGTATTTCTTTTCAATGTCCCGATGAGCTTTAAAAGAACTTGATTGAGATCAAGTTGAATTTCATACTTTGTGCGGAATATCTAAAACCTTGTATCATACTTGAAGATATTTTCCACAGGAAATTATATTTCTTCCCCGACCTCTTGTGAGTGATTCAGCTGCCTTAGTTATCTCTGCTATCCACTTTCCAAATTCCTTGTCTTCAACATTCTTTGGACATTTGTGTATTAATTGTATCAATTTAGGTTCCGTCACAGCTAAATCTTCAAGATGGAAATACACGTACTTTATTAAATATGTATTTTTTATTATCAGGTCAGATTTCATCAAAATAGCCAGTCTTATGAAATATATAGCTAGCTGTTACCACCTTGACAGCAAACCAAGAGCATTGTCATGCGGTATTAACGCTCTTCTGTTAAGGGCAACAACAACCAATAGCCTATTTTCATAAATATAATGTTTACAAGATACACAAATACTGAATCTTTTGCTTTCAGAATAATACCATTTTCTTGCCCTAAATGTGTGCTTGATACCTGTCATAGTTTTAAAGGTATTCTACTAATAGGCAATTTTGACCAAATTCTTAGTTAAAAAAGAGGCATACCTCCTAAAGTATAGCTTTCAAAATTGTCATCCTTATTTTACAACTGCCTCTGGTCAACAAGTATTCTTAGTTCCGTGTTAATACTTTTAACGGGCAACATTGAAGTTTTTGAACACCAACAACGACAACTCAGCTCAAATCGACTCTTTTTTTTAAGCAGACGAGTAAAAATGAGCATGTCACTTTAAATTTATTAATAAAACTTTAATAATTTTACCTTCAAAAAGATCATGCGTTTTCTTCATTGCCATTAAAAGTATGCTTTTACATTGATCTGTTGGTCGCATTTGCATAGATATTTTTTCTACAAATATAACGTTTACATAATATTTTTATTCCCATCGTATACACTTAAATTTTGATGCAACGTAAAACTTAAATATATCTTTGTATGTGCATTATCTATAACATCCTTTTTTCTCTAAACATTTCAATTTTCTTAAGATTTTAAATGTTAAATATATTTGTCTCTCAGTCACAGTGACAATAATAAAACTTGTCTTAGACCTTCATAAATGAGAGTTTTTATCAGGTATTAAATTTATTACTTATGTTTCTATATTTGGATAAATATCAATTTATTTTACAGCCGTGAGGAATGTTATTTATTTTCAATGTTTTCCTCAACTTAAAAATAAGTATCTTAATTTTAAAGAAAAATAAAATTTCACGGTTGTGTTAACTATTTATTTGTCTTTTAAAAGAATGATATTAAGTTAATTACAAGTTAGGCATGGAACAATGGCAAACTCATTTTATCAGTTTGGAAGATTTGAATTAATGCATGAATACGATGATATATTTCCGGAGATACAGATTAGATTAAACCTATAATTTTACATAAATGCATCATAGGTTATTAGTTTCAATATTTAATAACTTTGTTTGATTGGATGGTTGTTTGTTTGGTTTTACCATAACAGTAAACATATATGTCATATGGCGCCGAACATAAAAAAATGAATTTGACTAACCTCGGGTGTTAGACACTTCAAAGTAACATCAGTGTGAAAACAACCTCATCTGCTGGAGCTTAGACAAACATAGACTCGAGTTATTGCACCACTCAGGGACAAACGGTGGCTGCAATTATTATACCCCAATCGTTTAAGGCAAACCCTAAGCCAAAATATGGATGCATAAATACTACACGCCTTCCACTGAATAAGACATACATTGCATTGCGAAAAGAACATATGAATGGCACCAAATAAGTAAATTAAGCAATAATTGTAGGTAAAATATTGATAGTTATGTTAGCCAAACCTTCTTTAGGAACGCTGACATGTTTTGATAGATCTTCTGTGTGTTCTTCTACTGTAGACAAACATCTAACATCTAAACTTGCACACACATTAAATATGTGTTCAAGTGCATCTTTCTCTGTTTTTGCTCTTCCTGTACCAATAGATGCTGTCAGACCAATGATCTAGTAATTACAATGGGAGTCAAGTTCATTATTGAAATATATTAAAAGGCTGGAACAAAAATTGACTACATTTAAAAAATATATTTGTTTAATGTATGTTACATTTTCTTATCCATATTACTGTCTACAAATACAACTCATAAAGGACTTTCTATCTTTTCATCTTTTATCATTTTAAAAAAACAAAATGTGAATCAAATCAAAAGTGCAAATAATCATTTGGTGTCACAAACTTTTTCCAGTTATAAAGGAGCACTATAAAAACATGCCATTAAGATGTTTAGGTCTCAGTTCACCTGTGGTAAATTTTTATTTCCATTCGATTTTTCAAGAAGATACTTTTTCATAAGCATGTTGTAAGGTTGACCGCCGATAGTATGGTGGCATTCGTCGAAAACCATTAATGAAAATGCCGACAAACTTTTAACATCTGTGTCTAGATTGTTGACAAGAATTTGTGGTGTGAATAGGAATATGTCATAATCTTCAAGAAATGCCTTCAACATCATTGCCTCATCTGTGTCTCCTTTTAGGTGTTTGACCTTCAATTGAAATATGTCGTCGTCAAACATGCTGTAAATCCATTATCAAAATAATATAAAAACACATGCTTGCATTTTTGGAACAAAAGAATAAAATTGTCATAATTGCTGATGGATTGTGTCACTTTAATTATTAACGCTGCCATTAACAAAATGTTACAACATAATCATAAAATATTTTCATGACAAATTTAAAATATATACATTCGCATAAGGCAATCGCGTGGAGATGAAGTTCTTTTGCTGCTCTACAAGTATTCCATTGCGAGCCATGAAGACAACTCTTCTTTTCTTTCCCCCTGATCAATGAACAGAAAAATAAAAAATACTACAGTACTGATAAACAATAATAAGTATTCTTTAATGAAAAGTGTGTGATACTTTATCAAATTCTCTATTTTACCTTAAATTTCCAAAATCATTTAATTTGAAATAAAATCACTACTGTATAAATATAAAAATTCTTACTTTTAAGAAATTTAAGCTCAAAAGTCCATGCCTTTGTAATGTTCTTATTTAAGAACAAAATATACTTAGTTTTATTCTAGCGTTCATAACAATTTATTTCTAAACTTTAAAAACTAATTCAAGTAAAACGATAATACACCTTCTGTTGGCATATTTAAATGTCTATCAATAATGTGTGTTGCCACCCATGTTTTTCCACTTCCAGTCGGAGCAACTATGATAGTATTTTCGCCCGCTAATGCCTTCTCTGCAAGTTCGTGTTGGAAAGGATACAATGTCTCTTCAAGAGATTTTGACTCCGTTGTTTCATCTGCTATGAATCACAATATCAAGAGATTATCACCAGAAAGTATGTTCAGGGATTATAGACACTTTGAAATATCTTTTAGCGTCAAATTAGTTTAATTGGTGATAAATATATGTTTTCTATAGTAAGATTATTTTTTAAAATATTTGTACCAAATAGGAATAGTGAAAGAGTGAAACGAGTGGCCACGAATTTTGATGGTGGTGGTGTTGGTAATTTTTACTCTGGATCACGGCAGTAAGCCATATTAAATTACCAGAGCACAGTTCTGCCACCGCATCGTACCTGAGACGACTTGTCAAGCAGTCTACCAGTATAAGTTGCCTGCACTTTTGCAAGGAACTTTAACTTCTGTACATGCCAGAGCAGAGGTACAGTGCGAATCACCGTAGGAAGGGTTTTCTGGACCGATCACAACGAAAGTGACATTCACCGTCCTGGAATCAAACCCGGGCCGCGCGATTTACAATCCAACGCTCTATCTATAGAGCTAACTGGACGGGTCCACAAATGTTGATAAAACCTAGGTTTCACTTAAAAAAATAGTGTATCGGCATTTTCGATGTCATGTTGTGAGATAAACATATTGAAAAACGAAAATCGTGATTAGGAAATACCAGAAGACGATCATTTTCAACGCTAGCAGGGTTATATGAAAACAAAGCTTTATCATACTAAAATACTTGAATATTTGGCACTACATACCGTCACTGAAATCGTCAGATTCTTCTGCCTCGCTTGTCAGTTCTTCTGTTAAAGGAATTTCATCGTTTTGAACATCTGTATCTGTTTAAAATAATATTATTACAAAATATGTTTCACTTTTTTATGATTAGCGAAATCCTATTCCGTAAAAATGACTTTCTACAAACCTATTAACCTTGTATGTATAAATTCAATGTATCTTATATCGTAATTTGCTATCGTCTTTATAATGTCTGCAATGTCTTTAATATAGTAATAGATTCGAGACTGTTAACATTAGAATTGTTAATTTTTAATTTTTGTGTATAAATCGTTTTTTTTTTAGTTTGTTTGTGTTGGCAGCACTCTCGAATCACATCCTGTAACTAACCAGTACATAGCAAATAGTGTAGAAAGTTTCATGCTCAAGGTGACAATGGCTTGCTCAGGACGTTGTTTGAACCATCGCTACAAACAACATGAACAGGCCTTAGATTACAAGTCTGACGCGTTTTCGGTTAAGAATATTTTGATATTAATAAAACCTTATATTCTTAACAAAATGAACACATAGGTCATAATGTCTGATTTTTTAAGATTTTTCTTTTGTTGCTTATTGACTATTTTCAAGTTGAAGGTTTACTTGTTAGTGAAGATCTATTTTATTGATTCTATACTGACAAACAACATGTACCTTTTAAATTTCTGTTCTATTCTCGTTTACAAACTTACCGTTCTGTGTTGTAATCTCAGCTGTTACATCAGGCTCAAAGTTCCGTCCCTCTGGGGGTGCTCTTTCTCCAAGTTGTATAGTCGCATTCAGCTCTGTTATATCATCTTGAGAGGTTTCGATTCTATCTGTATTTTCAACGCAAGAGTTCAAGGCAAATCTGTCCAGAGATATGCATGTGTCTTTTGCTTCATTCGTATGTGACTCAATATCATCTCCTTCAAGAGCATGAGGTGTATAAACGTGTTCGTCAATTTCTTCTAGAGCATCTTCAAAGTCTGCATGATTAAGCAAAATTAATATAAAATAACTATATAGTCGTGTACATATCAATTCCAATACAATGGTAAATTGTTACTTGTTTTTTTTTTACTTGCAAGCTATCAACATATTTAAGTATAAAAATTTATACTTCGTGCGGGTATTGCGTAGAAAATGTATGTGCTTATACAATTATTAAAGCATTCGAGATGCAAGTTGGTACAATGATATTGTTTTTCTAAAAAGCAAACGCTACAAATATCTTTTGAAATGATTTGTAAAAACGCTTGTTGATGTAGCGTGCTATTATCGCAGCTGGTTTGTGTGTTTTCTATCATGCATGAACAACTTAAATTACTATAACTTACAAAAGCAACTCTAACATGGGTCCTATGAGTTAAAGTTTACATATATAACTAAAGAAACAAAGAAAAAATACGTTTTACAGAAGTTGAAATTTAAAAAACAAATTTCACCTCCCGACCTTCAACTGAACGTAACGCACATAAAATGAAAATTGCAGAAACTAATACTTACCAGAAGAACTTGAAGAAGATTTACAGTCATTCATGTCTATTTCTGAAACCATGCAATGGCTGGCCATGTCAGTAGCTACGCTAGAATACTCTACCAAATAAGAAATGTTGCAATTTTGTTACAGATAGTTAATAATTGTTGGTATTATAAACCGTAAAAGAATCTCAACAACACTAAGTTAGATAGTTGTTTTTTATTTATTCAATTCATTCTACTACACGACACTTCCGACTGCAAGCAAAAATGAAAGCCATTCTAACATGAAACTACATTTTCAAATTTATGATTTTTATATGCTACGATCAGACTACTTATGGTTGCCTAGTTTATTTCGGTCAGGGATGAATTGGTACAAATAATCAAAGACGTGAGTCATCATACCCGTAAGAACGTGTTCTTGAATGTCATCGGACTTTATGGATACAGGTACTTTCGTTTCAGATGCCTCAACAGTCATGTCTTTTTTATCACAGTCAACATATTTCTCTACTGATTCTATAATCACGAGAAGAAAGAAAACGTGTATATGTCAGAAATATCGAAATATATTCAGTTTCAAAATAATTAAAAATTGCTTTTAGTTATCAACAAAAATACATGAAGAAATTTAACTGTTACAAGTATATGAGATGATTTAATTTATTAATATATTGAAAAAATCATCTCACCATGACAAGATCGGAATTGCTTGGGGTTTTGCAAAAAATCTGGCTCGATTTCTTTGACAATGTGTTTGAGGTTCTTTTGAACCAATACATCGAGAAATTGATAATACCATTCGTCTGGAGCCAGTCTGCATTGCATTCTGTCTAAAAGCACGATTGTTGCATACGTGTTCCCTTTATTCTGATACTGAGCACGAATAAAGTCGACATCCGTGTCGTTTATAACTTTTCTTGAAAAAAGCTCAGCAACGATATCCATTGCATCAATAGTCTTCTCTAGGTAGGATATGAATACTCGGATAATTGCCCTTTCGCGTTCATCTTTCACACTTGGTTTGCCGTCCGTTTCCAGTAAGGACTTGATGTAGAGATATTCTGTAGATCAATTTAAATACCATTTTTGTCAGTTATGTAATTTTTAAATATGAAAAAAGTTGACAAATTTTACTTTTGGTTATTTGGATTAGTTGTAAAAAATGTTGTAAAAATGTGCAAGGGCGTGCAGTTGAGACTTTAAGATATAGTTGTTGATACAAGAATGTCAAAACGCCAAGGGTTGGGTATTGTAGTATGTTAATATCTTAAGATTTACCTGCATTTTCCAAAGCGGTCAGTAATGATTTCCATTTTCCCATTGCAGATGATTTCAGAAGACAGTCGATCATCATTTCATTAGCTTTAAAAGGATCGGCATCTATAAATATCTTCTTCATCTTTGAACAGTCGTCTTTAATTTAAAAGCATAATAATTACACAAATATGCAAATATTTTTAAGATGAAATGACCGATAAAAGTAAATCATCAGGATCATCTCACAGAATTTAATGTGACATTTTTACGTGAAAATATTGTATTCGGTTTTCACGGTGTCTTTAGAGTTTATTGTGGTAAGAAATGATAAAGTGCGAATAAAAAAGGATCCGAAATGAAATTATCATATAAAGTACAATATTACGTGGCTTTTACTTTGATATTCTAACATTGTAAATTAAACATAATTAACACAATATAGCACTTATGTTTGGAAGCTAATTGTAAACAGAGAAAAATGGCGACGGTTCCTTTTCGTATACATTTTCTTATTGTTATTTCAAGTGTGTTTACTCATCCATCAGTACACAAAATGTGGAACATAGTCACCCAGACCAACAAACAAGTTGAAATTTATTTTCGTGCAAGTTGTAGATATATAATTTAAATCCAATTCTTGTATATTTACCAGAAGGTATAATTGAATCTGCCTCAAGATGAGAAATGACGGATGGTTCTTTGATGCATCTTATTATCTCCTGACTGTAGAACAACAATCGTTCCTTAACTTCCATTTCATCTGTTGTTCTTCTTTATCTTGCCTCCTGATCGCATTTAAAAGTATATTCTTATCATTCGGCTAGAATTCCCTTCATAAATCAGGTAACATGTTTTAATCAATAATTCATAAAAGACATTTATTAAATCAAGCAGTATACTAATGCGCCTTTAGAAAAGGTAACATTTGCCGATTCTTTTAAGTAAAGTACTGTGTTAAACATCAATATTCAAATTAACATATGATTTTATTTGTTATATAATAATCAGATTAACATTCCCTATAACATTCCAATAGACTTGAGTGTTTACAAGCCTTTCTTTCAACTACACTCATAGTTTGATTGATTTCTGAATGTATATCATTTCTGTTTTCGAAAAACAATCAAACGACCGAATTTAATCAATATTATACAAGTATAATTATACGTGTCAACTTTCAAGGTTCAAGTTAAAATATATAAGCTCCCATGAAAGGTACATGCACAGTGATCGGTAGTAGCAGACACATGCAATATCCATTTAATTGTAGACGCCTCGTAAGACACGGTAAAGAAATTTTATTAATCCACTGTGGTATCAAGTTACAGGTAAGTACGATAATGCATTTACAGGTATTTTATAAATATCTTAACACTTAAAATTTACTTTACAAATATTTGTTATCAGTCTATATATTTACATGGCAAGATTTTAATCACATTGTATCAACATGTATTGAATAAAAGGGAACATAGAAAGCCAATAACGTAATAATATACAAAGTATGTACAGATATTTTATTCAACTGAACTTTAATAAATTCCGAAATAGAATATATAAATATTGTATTTATCACATACCCAAAAAAAAGACTGTTTAGTGTGCTAAAAAATCATTTTTCATTGACGCGCCTATATTGTCACGTTAACATTTGGCGCGTCTTTACACTAAGTTTGTATTATGCAAATGACGTCAGGTCAAATTATTAGCACGGTCGTGCAATAGTCGCAAAATCGGCAAGGGTATGTGATAATGATAATATACATGACCGAATCAAACAATACCAGCTCACAATTGTTCAAAACAAATCAAAACAATTTGCATGATTATTGAAATAAAAAAAAGAATGTATATTACAATTTGTTAACAATATCGTACGAATGTTAATTGTTTATTTTGATATAAAATAAACATGGCATGAATATTTAAAAAGTAATGTCTTACTTACACAGTACCTTCCAAGGAATATCTATCTGAAAATTGTCATTTTGCTCTCGCATAATATCTAAAGGTATATTTTATCTAGATTTTCTGAAAGCCATGCAACCTACACGTCTGTCTATTTATAAATATTTAATCAATGTGTATTCATACGATCGCTCTTAACATAAGCCATATGAAATCTGTAAACGGATCTGTATAATTACATTGATTGCATAATGTTAGGTCTATCTTAGCATAAAATGAAGTTTATGACTACCCGTGTACCTAAATTAGTACGAACACCATTGGATTTGTAATACATGTATCGCTGAGTAAATAATACAAATTACTTCAGAAAACATACAAATTGCTCACGAGATATGCGAGAAAATGAAATATATGCTTTAGGCACTAGCCAAGGTTTAAATTCATGTCAGCAAGGCTAAATCTTCCAGTATATCCTGTCAGCAAATTGCATAGCGAATGTTTAAGTATGCATATTGTAATGGACGACAATTTCATAGAAAAAACAACACCAACTTAAGACACTATTCATCGAAGTACTTTATATTACCATACGTGCGATGATTACGCGACGCGGAAAAAAGACAAACGTTTAGACAATCAACGGCTATAAAACGCTTCGCAATCAAACGTTGTTCAAGTTATCATTATGTTGAAACTGTTTACTAAGGAATATTATAACCATAACCTTTACAAAAAATAGCAAAAGCAACCGTAAAGAAATATACTGAGTTTTTGTGAAACACTGCGTTGTTGTGAAAATGTGTAAAACAAACTCTTTAAGGATTAGGCATAATCAAGTTAAAACATCTTTTGAGAAGTTCCAGAAAACTCAATTTTAGATGATAATTTTAGTCGTAAGTCCTCAAGTTGTAAAAAATAATTGTTCCGTTGCAAATGAAATGCAAATTTCATCAAATATGTTAATCCCTTTGGCTTTTTATTGAAAACAATAACATAAATCAGATAATCTAAAATAAAAAAAAATCTCAGGACACATTGTCAATACAAGATACAAGAAACATTACTTTAAGTCGGTTTAGTTTAATACTAAATAGTATTTTAAAGGTATTTTAAAAAGTAATAGTTTAAAGGAAAAATAACATACAGCATATAATCAAAGCAAACTAAAAAGGGATGCACAAAAAAAACAAAAGCAAACAAGCAGTCTAAGCATTTTACATAAAACTAAGCAAATTAACAAACACGTAGCAAATCTACAAACACAAAGCACATTTACAACTAGGGTCACTCCAGACCTAGCTCAGTCTTCCAAACTTTTCGTAATATTCAACCTTGTGGATGTTATGAGGGAGACTATTCCATATCTGAACGCCTTCAAACCTAAAAGAATTCTTAACGTATGTTACTGTTTTTACCCTTGGAATATTAACACATTTTTGATACCTAAAAGAATGATTGGAATTTTTAAATTTAAATAAATCATTTATATACGGTGGTGACTTTTCATACAGGCATTTAAACACTTCTTTAGCTATAGTTTTAATTCTTGTGTCATATGTAGAAATAAAACCATTTAATACTATTCTTAGCACAATATGCTGAAGTTTTTCAAGCTTGTCTGTGTCTGTTTTAGAGCAAAATGCTAAACTATGGGACAGTAGTATAAATTTGACCTGATAAAAGATTTGTAAATAAGAAGAAGACATTCTGAATTTAAAAATTTCATAACTCTTTAAAGCACATTTAATTGATTGGCAGCTTTTTACACATTCTGGTGACCTGTATACCAAAGTTAAGTAAAAAGTTTAAGTCTACCCAAGCAGTTTTACACAACCTTCACATTGTATTGTTACATTTTAATTTGAAATTCTTTCAAGTGTTCATTTGTAATTTACCCAACAAGTTTCCCGAATTTTAAAATATGTTGCTTTTTTCTAATTCACATGCGAAAACATAAATATGACACACAAAATTCCCGTCAATTCCAGTCAAAATAAAAATGTACAGTAAGATATCACTTTATTAAGTTGAAATAAATTTTTAAATGATAGATTACAATTACTTTTTTATTTCGTGAATCAAAATAGGTTTTTTTGCAAAATTACTTGCACTGTCATCAAAATAACCAAAAATGATCCAACATGATATTGCACCGTCTGTTCATACAACTTACTCATATCTCTATTTTGATTAAATAAACAATGATCATTCCTACGAAACTATTTAATTCGCACAGTGTGTAACAATTCTACTTCCTGTTATCAGGTTTAAATATATATATGCCTCCCGAGAAAGGTATGACGAATGGAAGTAGCATGTGCTTGTAATCGTAAGACAGGGAACAAGACTAATTGAAATGATTTGCGAGACAGAGTACATTAAGCTGCGGTCTCACTTACTCCCGGCAGAGCCCAGGACCATCCCGGTAAGTTACCGGGATGATCCGGGACGATCCGGGGTGAAATTATTGTTGCAGTCACACTTACCCCGGCAGCACTACGGTATTTCCCAACTAACCACCCAGGATGCGCTCCGGATCATCCAGGCAGAGCCCAGGTGAAGCTACGGTTCATGCCAGTGATTCCCCGGTCGTTCCCGGATGACGCCGGAAGAGCCCCGGTTGACCAAGGCAAAGCCCCGGTCGATCCAGGCAGAGCCCAGGACGATCCAGGCAGAGCCCCGGTAGAACCCCGGTGGATTAAAAACGCCCGAAAATGATAACATTAATACATAATTTTTATTTAATATAATATCTATTGTTCCGGAATAGTAATTCATGATGATTTTCTGAAAAATCCTTATGCCAGACTGGATAGAAGGGAAATGGAAAGGGTTTTAATACAAACAAGTGCAATCATCGCAAATTGTCTTTATTCTTTTGAAATGAACCGGGCTTTGCCGGGGCTCAACCGGGATCAACCGTAACTCTACCTTAATCATCGGGGCTCTGCCTGTAGTTACCGGGGCTCGGCTCTGTCGGCATCTACCAGGGCTCTACCGTAGCCATACCGTAGCTCTACCGGCTATATCATACCCCGGATCATCCACGGTTTGTGCCGGCAGAGCTACGGTGCTTCCCCGGTCATTCCCGGCAGAGCTAAGGATGAAGCCGGCAAAGCTATACCTTCCCGGATCACCCCGGACCACCCCGGTGATATTAAATGTTTTATTCCATCCGGGGACGAATGCCGGATGTTCCCGGATCATCCCGGATCATCCCGGACGCTGCCGGCAGAGTTACGGATGTACTCCGGTTGTTCCCGGTCGTACCCCGGTCGTTCCCAGATCATCCCGGACGTCTACCGGGGCTCTGCCGGGATGTAAGTGAGACTGTAGCTTTACTAATTGAAAAGGTTTTCAAGACGGGGTACAGTAATTTCGTACATCTATTGTGATTCAGGTATGTAGTTTTGAATGTCCAGCATATACTCTTAAAAAATTATAAATTGAATAAAGCTATATCTCTGTTCCCTGCAGATTACAGTTTCTTTTAAAGAAATAATTTTAAAACGTTTGTATGAAAGAAAATATTGGTATGCTTTCGCTTTAAGGGAATCGCAAATACCTGATATCATTTAAACCGTATTCAAAATAGCAACATACTATTTTTATCCGGGAAGTTTTATTCTGTTTTCGTTCAATTTCATGTACACAGGTGTAAAATAATAGAAAATGTTTATGTTACAACCCTTTCGAGAATAAACAAAAGATCACGGTGGTTGGTGAGATGGATGCATATATTCTATCCACATCTTTTGGAAACAAACGGCATATATTCTCGTAATTATATATTGTTATTACTCAATCATGCATTTACAAATCTACAAGCACTATATGGTTTATCAGCAGAAAAACTGATCAGAAATTTCAAGAGTTGCACGGAATACTAAGCAATTATGATAACACAGGCCATTTAATCCTGCCTAGCAATGACACAGATCAAATAAATAAGCTAGAAAATTAAGATGAATTTGGATAAGAAGGGATCTTCATTTAATACCAACAAAATAGTATTCGACATCACGCATCATATTCTCGTCTATTGTTTCCGATTTGCATATACCATTTGTCTTTCCAGGCCCATATTACTGTCAAAACAAGAGATCAAAAGTTCGTCGCTGGTCAATGGTCTATATCTGTTTTCTATAAATGTAACGGCTTTCTTTTCTTAACCTTGTAAAGGAAGTAAAAGAAAATATCATCTCAAGGGTAACATAGAAAAACATGTTTTAAAACATCGTTTGAGGTAGTGTATTTTAACCCCATACACTTCTTTTCTTTCAAGGTTCGTAAGTTTTCTATTACTGTAACTGCTTTCCTTTCTTAAGCTTGTAAAGGAAGTAAAAGAAAATATCATCTCAAAGGCAACATGGAAAAAACATTTTTTAAAACATCGTTTTATGTAGTCTTTAACCCCATACATTTCTTTTCTTTCAAGGTCCATCAGTGTCACAATGAAGGTTCCATAAAACTTCACTCGCCGTTAGAACACATCTGTGGATGTTTCTAAATTTAACATTTGGCCACATATTTGTCTTAATGTTGAATTCTGTTTTAGCCGGTGTTTGGGGCGCGGACGAAGACGAACTTTCAACTACCATCCATTGAACATACTCGACAAAACCGAGCCTGAATATTGCATGTGAGTTTAGATGTAGCCAGTTTATGGACGATGGTTGTAAGTGAAAGCTACAGCTTACGACCCAAGCACCGAATTCAGCAGAATTCAACATTTGAACATAGAAAATGTAAAATTTTGAATTAAGAAAAAATCTGTATATGTTTGCATCAGGCGGTGATCATAAAACATTCAATGGGACACGTTCGTACTACACATAAAAACGGCGTGAAGACCCCAATAAAAAATCCGTTTGTCAAAAGAGAAGTTCTGATAAACATCAAAAAGGCGTCAGATGATTAATCAAGTCCGAATACAGTTAAAACGACAAATATATGAACAAAGAGAACAAGGATCACGTTTCATCATTCCTCAATTTGGCTGTATACAATCAATCATTTAGATAAATGAACTGTTGACCTGATCCTTTGTTATTTTTAGTGTTATTTATGATCACAATACCAAAATATATAAATAATAACTGACAGGTAGAAAAAAAGAAATTATTGTAATTCAATCACTTGATTGATTTGTGATAGGCATGGATCTGTCAGCCTATATTAAAAATAATGTTAAGCAATGTCAAATTTCATAAAATATATGATTTCTTCGTTATCATATGATATGTTGTTCATAAATAAGAATATACTGCCAGGAAAATAGTAGTTTTACGTTATAAATTATGTTTTAATTCCTTTGTCTATAAGATTAATGAATTTTTCCCATTTAAATCAATATCATCAATGAAAAAGTGTCGGTATGATATGCATATTCTAAAATGCGTTTTTCGCCACATAAAGTAGATACGGATTTTGAGTTATGTGTATAATACAGAGCACTCAAAATCAAGGTATATTTCCATTCTAACACGTCAAAAAAAATACATGTATGGTTTGACTACATTTTTTGGTGGTTAAATTTGTTTTCGTCTCAGAGTTTTTTTTTTAATAGCAACGTTCTTTACAGGCTTTCCAGTCCGTTGAAAACAACTCTCGTTAAATCTACCTTTTGTACAAACATTTTGAGAATAACAAATTTTGAAAACGTTGATTAAGTTTTTGTGCTTATTTTTTTTCTTTAATTTATATTTTTCAAGCGAAATACAGCGAAATACAGAGTATTTTAGTGAAATAAAAATAGTGAAATAAAAGTTTTATTTATTTAACTTTTTTGCAGCATTGAAATAGCGTGCTTTTCTGACGGCTTTTGCACGCGCTGTTAGGTGCTGCATTGTGAAATCACGTGAACAACATTTCAAACGTCCGTACTGCGTTAATGACTGAATTGAAGACTTTGGTCTTTTATTTATCGTCTTTGAACATTTTCTATAATTCTAGATAGTTTTTAGAGCAAAATACAATAAAAAGTTATTTTATTTATCAAATTTCTTTCAAACAAATTGGCGCCGTCAGTGTGTCGGTTTGCAAATACGGAGGAAAAAAATAAGAACGGCGAATGCATTATCGTAGAATAACGCACGTTTCCGGCCTTCATTGTTTATTTAGAAGAATTTCCGATAGTGATTAGAATACTGGTTTATTGGATTTTGTGTGAAAAGAAATTTATTTTAAAAAAAGTTTAAAGAAAATTCCGTTTCATTTAGCAATATTTTATGTCCTTGAAAAGAATTGATTCTTTAGTTTATTAAACAAAAGCTATTCTGACATATAATTCAATACTCTTACATGTATTTCAACACCGTTCAATAGACATTTTATTTAAATAGAGGATATTTGTTAAGTTCAGTGTAAGATCGGAATATATTTCACCGAGTGAGCACCAAAATGTATATTTCACGAGTGGCGCAGCCACGAGTGAAATGTGAACTTTTGGTGTTCACAAGGTGAAATATATTTCGATCTTACACTGAACCAAACAAATTTTCTTTTTATTACATGCAATCAAACGTTAAAAAGGACATTTTTACCTAATAATCAATGAATAGCGCGCCAAATAATTATACAACGTGACGTCATTTACGACGTGACGTTATTATGTTGGTTTCTAGTTCTGTGTACGCTGGTATTTCACTGAAACAACGTAAGGGGCTTAAATTCAAAACAGTGAAATTATCAGTTTTAATTCACTGATACATTTCTATAAACCATCGAAAAGCATGTAATGAATAGAGTTCATTTAACACTTAAATATCATTCATTTAACATTTTATTTAGATATACATTTGTATTTCATTTTATTTGTTAAAATATCGTTTGTTTAACATTTTATTTTAAAAATCTTTCATTTAATATTTTATTTAAAAATCGTTTATACATTTTGTTTTGATACCAATAATTTAACATTTTACTTATTATTTATTTCGTATTGTACTTAAACATCGTCCAATTTACAATTTATCTAAATATCGTTCATTTAACATTTTATTTCAAACTTTTTAATTTAATATTTTATTTAAATATTATATTTTAATATCGTTGATTTAAATTTTATTCTAATAATGTTCAATAAACATTTTTGTTTAAATAGTATTCATTGAATATGTCTAGTCATTTTAAGTAGTTCGTATTTGTTGAACATTTTATGTAATTTGAAAAAATATAAAACACACCACAGTCACATATTTCACGGTATGTCGTTCTCAATTACTATTTTATTTGTTCAATTTATATGTCCATACCAAATGACCTTAGTGTATAAAGTATAGTTATGTATAACAATTGAATGTACATGAAATCATGATATTTACTGTTGTTATTAATTTTGTAACTTTGTCATTTCTTGTATATACATAAAGGGACACACAATATCAAATCCAGCTTGAATTAGTGCCATATGAGCTAAGCAAATGAATTACTTCTTACACCTGTTGATATGACTCTAAACACATTAATATCCGGTGCACGGTCACACGCCGGTTTAATGAGACACATAATCAATACGGACTATTTTTAGATATCAAGTTTACGCTATCGGATAGCGTATTCTCTTATAACCATATTACAAATAACTAGATATTTTACGCAGGCCGAATCGGGTCATCCGATTTTTCGAAAACGAAACAAAAAACAAACCCACACACAGAAAATTATCCTTGATTTTTCGAAAAATAAAACAGAACAGTTAAACTAGAATAAGTTAAATGAATATCTTGGTTATTAAAAAAGGACTTAATCCCGGAAAGGAAACAAAAATAGGTATCAAACAATTTATTATGTAAATGATTAACCATGGCTTTTTGGAATTGAACTGTTAAATATGATATGTATTTTATGCTGTTAATGTCCGCTTGCTTTACGTACGAAACTTGGTACAGGAAACTATGGATAACAGTAAACTGTATTCATTCTACCTATAATGTTAGCTACATTAATTTCTTGTGATATACTTTTGAACTCAGGAATTTCTTCAAATGTCATGTCGTTGGTCGGTCTTTTTAACTATAAACACGTTAAATAGGGCCTACATCAGTGAGAAATGTTTCCGGTACAAGTTTTCATTAAGATTCACACTTCCGAGAAACCGTCAATGTCGGTTCCAAAACTGGACAGTAAATACTAAATCTTTTGTTTTATGAACATAATTATGCCACCACAAACGATGTTTAAGGGGCAAATTGGAGTCAGTTTGTCGGTCGGGCTGTTCGTCGGCCTTTCCACTTCATGGTTTCCGATCGATAACTAGATTTAATGTAATCAAACTTGGTATATAGCAACCTTATGTGAAAACCCCAGTTGATGTTGCTTTTGTTTCTCCCAGCGGTAAAGGTTACTGAAACTAAAATAATATCGAAAAAAGGTTTCCGGACAATAACTCGAGATAGGAATAAGATATTGTAATCAATCTCGGCATATAGCAAGCTTATATTAAGACACCAGTTGGAATTGCTTTTGGACCTCTGAGGGTTAAGGTCAAGGTCATTGTTACTAAAGAAAAACATGGTGGCTGGACAATAACTAGAGTAAGAAATGAAATATTTCAATCAAACTTTATATACAGCAATTAATATGAAGATCCTGGTTGGACTGCTATAAGACTCCCTTGGGTCAAGGTTAATGTCTCTGTTACTCGATAGAAAAATGGTGTTCGGACAATGAATAAAGTAAGAATGAGATATTGTGATTAAACTTGGTATCTATCAAGCTTATGTTGAGTACTTGATTTGGATTACTTTTGAACCAATTAAGTCAATGTCATTGTTACTGAAATGGTTCTGTATGATCAATAGAGTTAGGAATGAGATCTCATAAAGGGTTAACTTATAAAGAGACCTAGCTTGGGATTGTTGTTGGCTTCCCTAGGTTCAAGGATAAGGTAACTGTTATTAAAACTAGAAAACTTGTTTTTGTTTTGAAAATTACTTAAGCAACTTATTCTAATGTTTATTGATTGGTACACATATGAAACATCATAAATTACAGGTTCAATTTTGCTTCAGACTACTTATTTATTTCAAAAGATACGGAGTTGATGGGGATATGAATCACTATAAGTGATAGCTCTAGTGCTTGTTCAGAGCTGGGTCTCACCAGGCCTTTTAATGATTTTTTATAAAGGAAAGGTAAGCTGTACTCATTACAGAGTGTTCGATTCTGGAATAAATAATTTTTAAATTAGCTTTTATCGTACAATCTACTTTTATATAATGTAAAGAATGCTTGAAACGTATAAGAACGTGCTAATAATACAACAAAAAATCAGTTGAATTATTTTCTAATTAAAGGTACCTTATCCTCAGAAACGAATGAATATCTGCTTCTTTAGAAATTGCAACATGAATTTTATTTTGTTTAAATAATGGTTTCAGAGAATGTTAGATGTATGTCACTTGAAAAAAGTAGCACTGAATGTCAAAATATTTGTTATAAACATAGCAAAATGTAAACAAAATAATATTTTGACTTCCATTCAAATTTAATCAGAATAAAGACAGGAATCAGGTTATTTGACCAAAAACTTTTTTGAAACTATAAAAATACACCAAAATAAAAAAAAATTGGGAACCAAGGATAAACGTATTTCTGGGGCATTAACCCATTACTTCATATACATGCTGCGTTTTAACGCCCCCTCTTTGAGGCCTAAAATAATGAAAAAAATGTCATCTTTATTTCCCAAACACTTTCTTTGCTTGGGAAATGTTGTTAAAAATCACTTTTTTAAGATCACTTTTTCGGCGCCACCCCTTGTCATAAACGATACATCAGAGGGGTGCCAGAGGGGGCTGCCAGGAAACTCTTGGGCTTGTTAGAGCTAAAAAGGCCTCATGTAAATCTAAAAGGAACGTGTAACCAATCCTGAAAATCCTTTGACTCTATCTCAATTGATTGATAAGTTGCAGCACTTTGAAGTTAGCTTTGAGGAAAAAAAATCATCGCAAAATATTTTGGGCAAATTTAGATGTCCCCTCGTTGCCTTGGTAACATGAAATTTAAGATTGAGCATGCTGTTACAATGGCTATGGTCCAGTCGAAATTTGAGTTTGATCAGTAAGCATTGAAGCATATTTATAGTTTTATACCAATTTCAACTTGTAATAGGAGGCTTTAAAACCAACACAGACATTTTTTTTACAAAATGCTCATGCGGTAATGGTTTAATCTCGTGTTTATCCTGCAATAAAAGACATTCTTTTTAAAAGTGTAAAGTAGGAAGTATACTAGTATGTTTAATTTAAAAGTTGTGACAAGATATGTGTAGAGAAAAAAAGAGAAAGTGTTTAATTTGTATTTGTTCAGGTCGGTAAGAAAATAAGGTGAAATGGCGGTGGAAGCTAGAGTGCTGTTTTACAGTCAGGTGATTACAAGATGCATCAAGGATCCATGCGTAATAACTCGTCTCGATGCAGATTCAATAATACCTTCTGGTAAGCAATCAACCAATTTATCTTATTTCTGAATAATATCTTTGATATAAATTTCTATAATTTCCGGATCCCTTTTCTGTCAAACTTGTTCTCATCAATTCTTGTCCTATTGTTGTGTTGTTGTAGTTATTGCTGTTGTCTAAATTTTGCTTTTAGGTTTGAGAAGTTGTTTTGTTTTGTTTCGTCCTGTTGTTCTTGGCCTATATAATATACTTGAGACTTATCTATTTATCAGGCCTATCGCTAGCGGACATAGATCGCCTGAACCCCCAAGAATAGTGAGGAACATGTTGTTCACAGTCAGACGACGCCGCCACTTGGCCATTATAATTTGCATTCATTCCATGTAAATCTAATTTTACCTATTTTTATCTGAAAACTTTGTGAACAGAAAGCGCAACAGATGCTTGACACAAAATAAAATGATTTATTTTGTAATGTTTAACTTGCTTTCTACAAATTATTAATATATTTTATTTGAACTTGTAGATGAGTGTTCAAAGATAAAGCAGATGTATACAGATGGCAATCCATTTAAAGCCAATGAAGAGATGATAACCTGTCTTCAAAAATCACCTAAGAGAGGGAAATGGATATCGCTATTTAATGCTTTAGATGATTTAGGTAGAATTAACGTACTTTAAGAAATATGGCATTCATGCAAGATTAGGTTGTTGTTTTTTTTATTATTTTTTTGTAGAGTAGAGTTAATAGAAAAATATCGTAATTGCAAACCTTTGCCGAAAAAGCTTATTTTTACTTAACAATATTGACAACCAAATTGCCTTAGTTTATAACATTTCAAGACAAACATCGAATAAATGCTATTTGAATTTATTTTTAATTAGAATACAAGCATCTCAAGTCCTTACTTGAAGCAGACGGTAAACCAAATGTGACAGATGAACGTGAAAGGGCAATCATAAGAGTGTTTACACCTTACCTAGAAAGTACAATTTATGCAATGGATATCGTTGATGAGCTTTTTTCAAGAAAGGTGATTAAATACACGGATTCCGAATTTATTCGTGCAAAATATCAGACAATGGGGAACACATATGCAACAATCGTGCTTTTAGAGAGGATGCAGTGCAGACTGGATCCAGGCGAATGGTATTATGAATTTCTTGATGTATTGGTTCATAAAAACCTAAAACACGTTGTGGAAGAAATTGAACCGGACTTCCTACAATGTCCCGATCAATTCCGACCTTTTAATGGTAAGTTTAAGCAATGTATCTTCTCTATACGTTTACCAATAAAATGCATATGTTTGTGTTTAAGGGTATATATCTCTATCAATATAATATTTAATACTTTAAAGATTTACTGTGTTCAACTTTGGGATATATACTATTATTGTAGAAATGTATTGAACTTTTTACTGCATATGTCTTTGAATAAGAGAATGTGTAAACTATGTACGGGAAGCTTCATTTCTTTTAACTGACTCAAGTTCATTTAGTATTTTTTTAACATAACAGCCAGCTTGTTATGTTTTAATGACACTAAGTATTCATACTGTATATACATATTATGTGTAGGGTTGGGATTGTAAAATATCTTCTTTTTGTTTACTAAAAACATGTTGTTTTTACATTTAAAACGATCTTGTATAATATTTATTAGTATTTTGAGTATCAAGTTTGAGAATGATAATTCATAATAGCCTTGAATGGCAGGAGCGATATTCATAAGTAAAATGTTATCTGATTTATTTTATTTCGCATTTTATTTTTATTTGTGTTTGATGGTTTGAATAATTATGCATTACTGATGTATAACGCAAACGTCATGTACTCTCTATATTTGCTTGTTCAAATTATTACTTAAAATAATTGCCTTAAATACGAATGGTAGGGTATGTGGACTCTTGTCATTTTAGCATGAAAAACGCAAATATTTGCGCATTGCTAACTATGGGATGTTACAGCCAAAATATAAATTCATTTATCATAGATCATATTAATTCGTAATTACATATTGAATATATTCGGGCATTACTAAATGTTTATCTCAAGTATGATAATATTCAATAATCCACTAAATATAACTTAATAATATATTAATAAACGATTTTGCATAAAAGTTTTTAAATGTCTTTCATTTTTTCCGTAAATCATCAGAAAGACAAAGGGAATGCGAAGGAAATGTCCCAATTAATGAGTCATACGATACAGAAGTGCCAGGATGCAGCACCGCTGGCGACGTATATGAACACATGCTGACAGGTATTGTGTAAACAATTGATCAATTAAATTTAAGTTTGTTTGTTTGTTTTTGTTGTTGTTTTTTTTTGGGTTGTTGTTGTTTTTTCTTGTTTGTTTTTTTTCAATTTATGGGCGCATGCGTGCACGTGTCTGCTAATTAAGTGTTCGGGTATCCCCGGAAGAGAAAACGCATACAGAGTGATATTTTAACATTTCACAACGGTTAAACGATTCACTTCTCCCACTTTGAAGTTAACATCTAAAATGCATTAACCTCAATAATTTGACAGAAATTGACTCATAACAAAAATTTCAATTAAGACCGGGAGAATTTCCTTACGCTGACATTTTCATTTATCGAAGGAATTTTTATGTTAGATGTTTAAGGCCAAAAAAATTAGTTACCAAGAAAAGGACTCTTTAAGTACGGACTTTGCATATATACATATAAAATATATATTATTAAATTCCAAACCATATCATGCTGATATTTCCAAATCTTAACATTTCTTGTTCCAGATTGCGGAGAAGCTGCTGAAGAAATGGACGAAAGTGTCCCTGAACCACTGGACGATGAGGAAAAATGATCCTGACTCGTCTAGTGATTTGAAAACAAAAGAGACAAACGATTTTAGTATTTCCAAAGATGGGCTGTGCAAATACACAAACACACAAAACAGTATAATAAATGAGACAGAATCTGGAGGCACATGCGCTTTAAACAAATTAGCATTTCAGGCACTTGGGACAAGACCAGCCCCAGAAGGACAAGCGTTATCTTGCCCTGACTCTACTGGCCAAAACGAAACGGAACAAACAAGTGA